ACAAAAAACCAGAAACAGAACAAAAAATAACTGCCAATTTTTTGACGTCAGAACAATTTTTAGAAGCTTTCCAAATCTCAAAGTTACATGTGTTATCGTATCTGAGCTACTTGTGTCCTGTCTTGGCCCATATCATAAAGTGGAGGGGGGAGGGGATGAGAGATTCTTCCATTTCAGTCTTACAGGCTTTCTTACAAGAGCTGAAAAGAAAGAAAACCCCAGTTCGGATTTCCCTCTTGTATCTTGAAATCTCAAGCAATCTTCATCAGCTAGAGTGAGGAAACGATGGTCGTATTAATGGGGTTAAGCTTGCAGTCCATCATCGATCTGGTGGTCGCTGGGATTTCTCTGATGATTGGGTTGGGGATTTTTGCCTTCATTGCTTCTGTTCTTTGCTCTGCTGCTTTCTTGCACCATGCCAAAGGTGCCTCTTAATTTCATGTTTCAATGCTCAGGTAATGCCTAATACTCTCTCTGAGAACACCTTTTGTCCTTTTGTTCTCTGATCAGCTTCTGGGTGTCTAAGATTTCTTTGATTTCAGTCATATATTCATTTTATTGGTTTATGATTTGTCGTTTATTTGACCAGTAAGTAAAGAAACAAACTTGAGAAGGGGGATTTGTTTTGAGGAATTAATCCCACTAGGAACGATTGAAATGTCTGGTTGTTTTTTACTGCTATATTTAGCTACCAGGAAAGAGCTAGACACTCTAAAAACCAACACAAACGTCTCAAATTGCAAACCGTTGTGAACCTTCAGCTCATTTCATTGCCAAATATGCTTAGGAGGCTAGCAGCACCGATTGGCATGGTTGTGTTGTCAATTTTAAAGTTCATTACTTGTAGATGATGCTGATAATGGTGAAGCAATTGATGTAGCAACTTTTTGTTGGAGAATAGTTACAAATACAATCACTATTGGTATCACTGGCCTTCCTGACCACCATGGCAGGCTGGGGTGCTAACATCCAGAGTCCTGCAATTAGAAGCTATGCATTCCCCCACAGCCCACCACTCCTCCAAGAAAGGGTGTAACTCTTTTCCTTAACAATCATTGTACAGCAATAAATAAACTATATCACTAAAAGTTGTTCCATCTTGTTGCTGTGCTATCAATGGTAGAAAAAAGAAAATACTGAAAAGAAAAGCAATAGAAAAATGAACCTAATAGGACTAAAATAATGTGGTATCATCATTCTCACTGTCCTCAATTCTCTTTGAGAAACAAGTTTCTGTGAGCCATGACTCCTGTAATGGACTTTCTCTGTTCCTATCAGGTGGAGGAAGACTGATGAATATAGAATGAACCTATATAAACCTTCTGCAGTCCCCTCTAACTCTCTTGAGGCTTTCCCCCCATTCTCTTCTTCTTCATTATTCTTTATATGTATTTTTCTTGATCTGCACAATCTCTTCTCACTTTTAGTTTCTATTCCTGTTCTCTGCTTGGGTGCATTGCAATTTTATTTCAATCCAAAGACAGAAAATATAATCACCTAGCTCTGAGCATATTGCAGACAAACCATCTCATCCCACAAAAACTCCCAACTCATCTAAGAAGAATAAAATAGGTAAGGAAATGGTCCAATTTTTATTGTGAATCCCAGTGTTAGCCTTTCTAAATTACACAGTCTACATCTGACCTAGTCCCATTAACTTTCTCTCTAAATGAATCTTCATTGGCTTAACCTTTTTAAGGCTAGATCTTGTCATTCCAGTCTTTCAAATAGCATTTACGCATGCAGTCCAATCGCTCCTTGCTAAAATGATTGCAATGCTTGCCTTCCCCATTTTGAGTTTCATTAATGAATTATTACCGAAAGGGATACTTCTTCTGATTTCATCAACTGCTTTAGCCATTTGTTTGCTTGCTTTATCTGCTTTAGTCATGAAATATTGCTAATTATAACCTGAATCACGCAAGAGCAAAATGGGATGAAGTCAAGTCAAGCAAATTGTAACCTCTGTATCTATGTTTCAGGTGTCGAAAGTGGCATATCAGTAGCAAGTTTAAAAGTGCAGTTTGTTGTTTCTTTGGGAAAAAGTTCCTTTGAAGCGGACTCGATGGTCGATGGGTTATGATCTCAGTCTTTATGTGTCTAAATTGACAGTGTAGGAACTCCACCTGTACTCAACAACAAAAGCTTTCATTGTAACGAATTGAACTGTGGTTGAGATGAAGGCAGTTTTCCTTTGATATACTTTGGTATACATCTGCTATATTATTCCCTGCACAATTACAGAAGATTCAACTATACAGTAATATTTTGAAGTGGCTTTAAAGCTAATCAAGCAACCATAACGTGCAACTCCATAATCAAATATCCTTTCTCAAACTTGAAGCAATGTGCCTGGAATTTATTCTGATATGAATTTTTGTTGAAGTCTGGATAATTATCTTTTACACTGGAGTTTAAATATTTAAAAATGATTGAATGGTAACCATGATTCGAAGAAACAAAAAATGGAAAGAAAACAATACTGTATTCATTTCTTCTTCCTCTGCTTTCGGCAGTAGACCATGCCCCGGATCCCGTCAGGATCAGCCACAAACCCGAGAGGCCTATAGAACCCCAACACCCTCGGCTCCGAATACAATGCAATGTTACAAATATCCTTCTCCAACAATTCCTCTACCAACCGTTCCATGACAGCTTTCCCAAGCCCGATTCCCTGGAACGAAGGGTCCACCACGACGTCCCATATTATAGCATTGAAAACCCCGTCACCCGTTGCTCTAGCAAAGGCAACGGGTTTCTGGGTTTTCTTGTACTCAACCCAAAGCATGGATTCCGTGTGTTCCAGTGCCAGTTTGATCTTTTCCGGGTCACGCCTGGGGAATCCTACAGCTACGAAGACGGAGTTAAGGTGGTCGAGGTTGAGGTCGGAGATGGTGCGGCGTAGGAAGAAGCCTCGGGACTCGAGGTCCTGGTCGGAGATGGAGTATTTGCATGTTGTCGTTGGGAAAGGAAGGGTGGGGGTTCGGAAGGGGGAGACGATGCCACGTGAAAGCATTGCTCGGGACAATGAGAGGAGGGGAGAGTGGATAACGAAGATGATTTGTTTCCGATTCTGTGGTGGCAGAGGGCGTCGGTGGGTTGAAAACTAATGGGATAGGCGGGACCTTGTGGGCCATGTTTTGTTATTAGTATTATTAATTAGGTTAATGATTATTTAAGAATTTGTTAAGAATAATTAACAAATTATTTAAAAATTCATTTAATGTATTATTTTTACCAAAAATAATGCCTTAATTACACATTTTTTTCTTATTACAAATCAAAATTTCAAGTCGAAAGATTGATTTTTTTTAAAAAAAGAAATACATGATTATGGATATATGTTTCTTTTAGAATCAATCCAAAGATTGATTTAATGGGTTAATTACTTTTAATTAATTTTTTATATTTTTATTTTAAATTAATAGATTTTTATGATTATAGTTAACTAATTATTATTAGATAAAATATCACTTATCATTTTACACTCACATAATAACATTATATAATACTAACATAATCTTGATGTGATAGTAAAAATATTACATAACCATATCAATATATCACATTATTATTTATTATGACATGTCAACGTAATATGTTAGAATCATATAACATAAAATAATAAATTATATTTTAATTAATAATAATTAATTATAAAAATTTATTTTACTCAAAATAAACTTTTGATCAAAAATTTTAAATAATTTAAAGTTTTTTAGATATTATAAAAAAAAGTCAAGAATTAATCAAGTACGGCAAAACTGATTTTAAGTTGGAGAGGAGAATGGATATACCTAACCAAAGCGGCGGTTCTCAAACATGCACACCTAACCCTTTGGCGAAAATTAATAAATCCTGTGATTTATTTGTAGCTAAAAGCCTAAAAGCAAAAGTAAATTTAAATTTCTGGGGTATTAACAATAATTTGCCAAAATAAAACGGGTAATTTACAAGTAACTCTAAAGGACGGGTGCCACTGATTTAGCTGTTGTTGGTTGGTCCGTGAAAAAGTCAAAACCAACCAACCCCCGCGCCACCCAATCCAACTAAGAAAGTAAAACAACACAACAACAATTCAATTTTGAAAGCTTAGCCTCCATGTGAAGCAAGTTCACACCCAAAATTTCTTGCTGTTATAAAAGCAAGTAATTTTCCAATCAAGTTCTTCTGTTTTCTGCAAAACCCACCTCAAGTTTTCCACACCTTTGGGCTGCTTTCAGAGGTAAAAATTGCTTGCTTTATCTATTATTTATGGGTACCCAAATGCATATTGTCTTGAATTACTGATCTGGGTTGTCTTTTTTATGTCTTTTGATCTTAGAAAATCATATCTTTGATGGGTTTGTAAGGTAATAATGCACTATGTTTCTGTTGCTGCTAGTTTAAGATCTCAAGAGCTATGCCGTCTTTTTCTTTTTGATTGATTCTTTTAAAGTACTTTGATCCCTTATGCTGTGGTTAATATTTTATTTCTCAAGTGTTTAAGCTGATGCTTTATAGATTACTGATTCTTTGTTATGGAGTCATTACGTTTGAAACTTGTGATGTATTCTTCTTAGGACATTAATGCTGATATTTTTCCTTTTGGTTCACTTGTAATGAGAATCACGGTTGTGCAGAATCATGAATTTGATGCTAGAATTTGTATTTTAGTTTCTTTCAAAGTTGCAGATTATCTTATCATATGGTAGATTCACATCATTGGATGTTGTAATGATATTTGATGCAGTGATTGTTCAGATTGAGTTTCAAGGAGCTGTTTTGCATGTTCAGCATATCCTGCCTTTCAGCATAGGTTATTCATTTTGAGTCTGGGAATTTTCAATAAATATTTGGAATTTCCTTCCTTTTGTTTTTCCTTTTTTGGAGAATGATACTCGATAGATTGGAGAGATGGAGGACACACTTGAAGATAAATTAGCTCATACTGTAAGGTATACACGCTAGGGATGCAAAGAAAGATGTTAAGAGCTCCTTTTAAGACTCTGATTTTTAATTGAAATAATCATCATAATAATACCGACTTGGATAATTCACATAGCCGATGTAGGGTGCATCATACACGTAATTATTTGTATACTAACTCCTAGAACAACCCTCCAACTATAGGAAGATACCTAAGAAAGTGATTCCACTTTCAAGACTGATCCTAGTATCTAGACGATTTTGGCTTAGACATAATTACCATTTACACATAATGCACATAAACTAAAATATGTATGATTTTCATAAAAAGACTAAGCATTGAGCTATTCTCAGGTCAATCAGTTAGCCTGATCTATTGACACTTAAATATTCATAATTTCCTCTCGGAAAACTTTGATTCATGTCTGTTTGAAGCATAGAAAAGGAGATATCTAGAGTTTTTCCTACTCCTGTATGGCTTGCATGGTAATTTGTTCTCAATCAATAAGTTAGGTTTTGAATTTGACTCTGAAACCAGATTATACACTTTCTTCCACACTTATTCCACTTGTGTCATTACTTCTAACTACTAATGAGTTGAACTGCTCATTTGTTTTTAAGACACCTGTTGTCAAAGAAAAGGAAAATAAAACCTAACTGCTACTCCTAAATGCAAGGAATAGTTGTAAAGCCACCTTTTTAAGCATCATAAAGTAGTATCATCTGCTGTGTTGAATCCTTGTTACTGAATCCTATAGATGCATACAATATTTATGCATTTTCTTAATCTGTTTTGGCTGGCTTCAATCTTGTATTGTTGGGTTTAGTGCAATGAGACTTTGTGCTGTATTTATGTTTTGGGGTATCTATATCAGCCTTTACATTTCAGTGTCGCAGTGTCTACAAAGAATTAGCCTCAAGCCACTTGCAAAGCTTGTTGTCTCTTTGTTATCTATATAATTCTGGAAATAGTTTTATAAAGTTGCCATTTAACGAATGATGTTAAATTTTCTCATCCAGTAGATTATAATGGTCGCCCTTACTAGAATTGGCCTTGCTGGCCTTGCTGTCATGGGCCAAAATCTCGCCCTAAACATTGCTGAGAAGGGATTCCCAATCTCTGTTTACAACCGGACCACTTCAAAAGTTGATGAGACAGTTGAAAGAGCTAAACAGGAAGGGAATCTTCCTTTATATGGATTTCATGATCCAGAATCCTTTGTTCATTCTATCCAAAAACCTCGTGTCATAATTATGCTGGTGAAGGCTGGACCTCCTGTTGATCAAACCATTAAAACTTTATCAGTTTACTTGGAGAAAGGGGATTGTATCATTGATGGAGGTAATGAGTGGTATGAAAACACTGAGAGGAGAGAGAAAGCCATGGCAGAATTAGGACTGCTTTACCTTGGAATGGGAGTTTCTGGTGGTGAAGAAGGTGCTAGGCATGGACCTTCCTTGATGCCTGGAGGTTCCTATGAGGCTTATAAATATATAGAAGATATACTTCTTAAGGTGGCTGCTCAGGTTCCTGACAGTGGTCCTTGTGTCACTTATGTTGGCAAAGGAGGATCTGGAAATTTTGTTAAGATGGTTCACAACGGGATTGAATATGGTGATATGCAGCTGATTGCAGAGGCCTATGATGTGCTGAAATCAGTTGGGAAGCTCTCTAATGAAGAATTACACCAGGTTTTCTCAGAGTGGAACAAGGGGGAACTGCTGAGCTTCTTAATAGAGATCACTGCTGATATATTTGGAATTAAGGATGACAAAGGAGAAGGATATCTGGTAGACAAGGTTTTGGATAAAACGGGCATGAAGGGTACTGGTAAGTGGACAGTTCAGCAAGCTGCAGAGTTGTCTATTGCTGCTCCTACAATGGCATCATCCCTGGATGCGAGATTCCTTAGTGGATTGAAGGAGGAGAGAGTTGAAGCTGCCAAGATTTTCACATCCAGGGGCTTTAGTAACATTCTGGCTGACGTTGCTGTTGATAAGAAAAAGTTAATCAATGATGTGAGACAAGCTCTATATGCATCTAAAATATGTAGCTATGCACAGGGAATGAACTTGATACGTGCAAAGAGTATTGAGAAGGGGTGGGGCTTGAAACTTGGGGAGCTAGCTCGGATCTGGAAGGGGGGTTGCATCATTCGTGCTGTTTTCTTGGACCGTATAAAGAAGGCCTATGATAGAAACCCAGACCTGGCAAATCTTCTTGTTGATCCGGAGTTTGCTAAGGAGATTATAGAGCGACAGTCTGCTTGGCGAAGAGTTGTTTCCCTTGCTATCAATTCAGGTATTAGCACTCCTGGTATGTCCTCTAGCCTTGCTTATTTTGACTCGTACCGCAGGGAAAGGCTGCCTGCTAATTTAGTTCAGGCTCAAAGAGATTACTTTGGAGCTCATACTTATGAGAGGATTGATGTCTCGGGATCCTTCCACACTGAATGGTTCAAGATTGCTAAACAGTCAAAAATCTAAAAGTTTTCTGTAGTGGACAGGTGCAACTTGCATCAGTGAAACATTGCCATTGAATTTAATTATACTGCTTAATGGCTCAAGGACTATAATTTTTCGTTTTGTTGTCTTGCAATGAAATCAACTCAATTTTTGGACACAGTCCTTTTATTGTTCATCTCCCTGTACAAGCCCAGCTGGCTTAGTTGTTTCACTTTAATTTTCTGCCCCTTGTGCAGAACAAGAGCTTTTGCATTCCCCTTTGAAGGGATAAAATGAGTTCTATCTGCTGCTTGTTGAAAACTGAATCACTATTATATCTTATTTTCCCTGTTGTTGCTTTTTCTCTTGCCCTTGACTCCTTTTTCATACCTTTTGAAATTTGGATGCTCATATATCATTGTAAATGATAAACTTCGGCACCTTTAAACATTGAAAGAAATTTTGAATTTCTTATACTTGATCTATGGGAAAAGATTCTATAGACTGTTTTGTAACCTGGAAAGGCCATGCAGCCCTAAATGGGTCATGAGTAGTTTGGCTAAAGTGCTTTTAAAATCCTTGCTAGAAATATACCACACTTTTCTTGGATAAACCCAAGCTCATCAACTTTCATGCTTGGTTTTGCAGGGTTCATTATGAATTAGGATTGACTGATTTTCTAACCCTGCTTTTTCCTACACCAACAATCTGCAGAATTCAAAAATCTCCAACTTGTTCTATGCACTCCCAGTGTTTCCCTTCTAATTTTAAGGTGGGGTTGGTGGTTGGATCACTTTTACATGCATTGCTTTGCTTCACTACCAGTGATGATAAGACCTAGCCTCCCTCCAATCCCCACAGCCCCACCATGTTCCTCTTTCTTATGCCCGTTTGAGCTTGTAAAGGGCTTCTCATGGGTGACGTCTTTTCTGATTTGTAGGAGCTTACGGAGGATAGGAAAGAAGAAACAGATAAAATATTTTTATTTTTTTAAATTTTGATCGAAATTATATATAAATTTATTATTTTTTAAAAAAATATTTTTTATTAGATATATTGATCTAGTCATTAATTAACTGATAGTGATTTCATCAATTTGATGAAATGATAAGAATAAAAAAATAATTTTATTTTTAATTAATTTTTAAAATTATTATTATCTAATTTTATTAATTTTTTATTAATTAAAAAAGAATTCTCAATTTGAGGAGCACCGGGGAGCCTCGGTGCTCTTTTTTTTGGGATGTCAGGGAGTACTTATTTTTTTAAAAAAAATATAATAATAATTTTAAAAATTAAGAAAAAAATATTTTAATTTTTTAATAATTTTTATTAATAATATTTGTAATTTTAAGATGTAGTGTTTATTTTTAAAATTAATAAATTTATTTAAAATTTTGATTAAAATTTAAGAATTGAGGTATTTTGGTAAAAAAAATTTATATTTTAAAAGTATGTTAACATTTGAATATTTGATTGATTGATATATTTATCATCTTATTTAAAAAATAAAATTTAAATATATTTTTTAATTATAATAAAAAAATATTTTAAAAATATACTAATAGCATATTTCAAGCATCGTGTACCTCAAAATGAAGCATTCTCAAAAACATCTTATAATAAAGACATAATCACTTTGACAAGATATTTTAGTTTTGTTCAAGAGGTTATCAGTGCTAATCAAACCATTTCTAGCTGTCTCATCACCAATCAAGTCACCCAGGTCGGTTTCAGGACCTGTTTAAGGCTACAATACTACTGAAAAATGAAAAGTTAGCTGCACCAAGTCAAGGTTTGTCTCAGTAGTAAAATAGAATACTTCCTCCTTGCACAGTACATATTCTTGAGTTTGCATCAATCTGCAGACCACTTGTACGTAGTGTAGTCCAACTTTTCTCCGGAGGGAGACCTCTTGCACAGTACATTTGGAAGTTTACGTTTATTTTCATGTCAGGGATTTGTATGGTTACTAGTATTGTAGTACTACATACTATCTGCATTTCTTTTCATGCTACCAAAGATATATATGCTGCGTATGTATATATGTATATATGTCATATACAAGCTCTAGCTCTTTCAATTCTGATGTAACAATCTTTGCAAGAGAATTTAATACTAGAAACATTCATAATGATGATGATGAGAATAGCAGTAACAATAATAAGGAACTTACATAGAACGCATTAAAACACCCTGATATATGCTTCACCATGAAACATCTATGAGATTCTCTAGTCACCTATCCCCCATTCAACATTGATACTGATTTTGTGAAATCCAGAGAAACAGAATCAGCAGACATGCGTCACAAACAGAGTGCTGGGGAAATTTGGGACACACCTATTCTTCCTGGCTCATAAAGTTGATTATCTTCACTTTCTCTCCACTTCGAACATGACTAGCAGCACTGGTTGCCTTACCCTCTAACTTTTCCTTCTCAATTTTGTTTCTTCTTTGGTCCCTTTTGATCACCTGTTTGTGAAGTTTTTCTGTTGAGGTGGACTTAAGCGGTTCAAGCTTGTGACGATCCATCCCAAGATTTTGCTCACTGCTGCATGGAAGTTTGTGATGACTCGGCCCAGAAGAGGCATCTGAGGCCATTGAGTCATCACTCTCATCATCATTTTGGCTGTTACCGTCATAGTTGCCACGCTGATTTTTGTGGTAGTCTTCTTCCTGCTCATGAGTATCACAATCGTACTCATCAATGTAATTGTAGTGATCGTTTTCTTGGGTGGAGGAGCCAATATACATGGTCCAACCAGACTCACTGCTGCTATGTTCTTCATCTTCCATGCCTCCGAGGATATGAGGAGCCTCCATGGCAGCCACTGGAGCCAGCGGACAGGATGCAAAGCTAAAACAAAAGAAAGAAAGGTCCTGGGGTAAGAAAACGTGTTAAATATTTGCAGTACAAAGTGTAGTGTGGAACCTTGTTTATTACCTAGAAAGTGGACTTATAGCTTTGTCTCTCTGGAGCCTTTGCCCTCGTCAAACAAATGCAGATTTACACACATTGGTCGAAGGAACCTAACCCTTGCAATGCTCATAAAGCTCTTGCAATCAATGGCTAGAGTAATCCTAGCACCATTACTTCTCTGAATTTAATCACTAGAAGACAAACTTTTGGTGATATATATGTTCCTGCATCTCATAAATATGATAAAAATCTAAGTTCTGAAAACGTGGAAGAAGAAAAGAACAAGAGTGTTTTCACTTGGTTAGTGTCCTTTTTACCTGAAAAATACGAGAACCTTTACCCCTCTGTCTATCTCATTAATAACCAGCAGCTTTTCTTTTAAGGTGGAAATCAGATGAGAGAGAGTAAGAACCAGAGGGTGGAAATCAGATGAGCCCACCCAACAAACAAGGAGAATATTTGACCCATTTTCTTAAATAGGTTAGAACAGTAACTCTTCATTTTTCCTTAATGTTAACATTGTTCACTCCTATTTAATTCCTCTGTGTCATGTCATGAACAAGCATCAGTCCATCCCTTTTTAAATAATGCAAGGAACCTAACAGGGTGGCTTGGGCACTTTGTATTGCATGGGGAGTATATGACGTTGGCAAAAGGTTGTTTTAGCTTCTAGCCTTCTGTTTTTGTTGTTCCGTTTTCAGTCTTCCCCAAAAGCAAGCCCATGTCTTTTTGTTTCTTGGGAAGATGTTAGCGGTAACTATTCCATGGGGCGGCTGCTGCTGCTAATCGCATTTATCACATCGAAAACAAGCCTTAGAGATGCAAGTAATTGTCCTAATTCTTGACTTTATGAAGTGTCTTGTCCCTATTTCACCTAATCATGTGACTTAATGAGCATGCCTTGTCCACCATTAAATGGCTATATCCCTATAGGTGTCTGCTTTTTTATCTTTTCTCAGATTTGTTTCTGCTTAAGCTGGCCTAGTGAGGGCCCTTGCGTCATTCTTGCTTTCTAATGCTCACCCTTTTGGGGATCCATGTGACCACAATTCTTTGGAGGTTCCCCTTCTCATAATTAGGCAACATGGCCCTAAACAGGAGAGCTTTCCCACTAATTGCATCTTTGCTGTTTGCTTTACAACATCTGAATATGTTCCTTCATTTAAAACAAGGCAAAAACAATGTTGATTATTCACTGTTTTTCTGGGTTTCTTCATTTCCGCAATTTCCATTTTGATCACAGAATCACCTTTTACATTTGCCTGCTGATTGTTGAAAGAGGTCTTCTAGGAGTCCAGGGATGCAAGCCTGCCTAACAAAGATCAAGGACAGATATCTTCCCAGTTTCTTTTCAACCATGCATTCTTAATTAGTCTAACTAGCAAAATAATCAGCTTCAATTTTGTCAGAAATAGTAGGCTATCTTAAATTACAAAACCACATGATATGTTTGTTTCTTGTAAGAAAATGAAGACATTCAAGAAGCAATAATAGCCTTCCATCTCACTTAAATAAATTAAACAGGTGATCGGAAGAGCTGTGCCATGATGTGATTAGTCATTGACAGATTGCAAGAGATGATCTATTCAAGGCCCTCACCTAATCAGGCTCTGGCCATACCAGATTAGACAGCATTCCTGGTCAAAAAATCAAAGTCGTGTAAGCTGCCTCATTTTAAACCTCTCATAACCATGGATATCATGGCATACAAATTTTCTTCAGTTGGACAAATTGCAACACCCTGGTTAAGGAAAAATGTAGTGGACGATTAAAACTAAATAATGACTGCAAATTCCCATGAAAAGGGCTGTGTTAGATTTGTTACTGCTTGTAATCATTGGTGATTGCTGCAGTGAACTTAATCAAGCAAACCCAATTCTATAAACCGAAGCTGCCACTGTTGAAAATGGTCGACAGATTGGAGGTTCCTCCATTTTACGTCTCATAATTAGTTCACTCCCTGTTACTTGCCAAAACTGTTCCTTAATCATTAATTAACTATCATTATTTTTCTCTCTAATTTTATTTAAAATTACAAGTAATTTTTTAAAGTGACCCATCCTTTTATGGTGATAATATTTCTCATCCATTTAATTGGCTTTGAATTGTATAGAGTTGCATGGCATCCTATATTCCTATTGGTTATAACCTAGTATTAGGATGCCATTTTAAGGGTCAGAAAATAAGTGGTGGACAGGGGAAGGAGAAAGAGGAGGGGATGGCTCTCTATGCAAGAGGGGCAGGCCCCCATCTGGCAATTTTCCATGGTGGAGGTAGGGGACCTCTCAGTTGGCCAGAGGTTGCAAATTGTCACTGATATCTCCTTTGGCAGATGAGAGCTAACTGCTAACTGCTAAGTTAGTTAGATGGTATGTCTGATTTCTTAGGCAAGTTACCTTTGGAGACTGCCAAAGTTCTGCTATAGCTTTCTTAGGTTTTCTCCTTGAAACCTGTAATTAACCTACTTCAGTTTGCAGCCAGGCATGCAAATAATTGAGTTGCATGACGGTTTGAGTTTACCCCAACTTTACTCAAACTCTGTTAAAAGAGTGAAGTAAATCAAAGTTCAAAAGTTAAAACTCCCATTTCCTGCCTCCAACCTGCCACTTTCTTCCAATCCTTCAGCATTAGAGGGTAAAGGTGATTTTAGCTGCAGTGGCAGAAAAAACTTGATTCTCTTATTGTATTCTTGGAGAAGAAATGTTAAGGAGAAGTGGATACTTGACCGTGGGAACTCAAACTCAGCCAAGATCCTTGTACTTCCAATGGAACCAAGTTTCAGTCATTCTTAGGCCAGTTCCTTCACTTATTCATCTTCTCAAAGCTGGGCCTGAACTTTTCTTATCTGGTAAGTACAACAGCAAGGCCCAATGCATAAGATCATACCAGCCTTGGACAAAAACTTTTTAACATCATAAATGACCCCTATTTAAGATTAATTAAAACATTAACTTTTTTTAAACAAATTATTTAATGTAAAATTTTTTAACAATCCTATGAGACAAGTCTTGTGGCCCTAATACGCACTTTAGGCAGAAATCATCTCTATGATATGGGGTCATAGTTCTAGTCCTTGACTCTTGTATGCAATGTCAAGAGGTGCAGGGGGTGTGCCTAGTTTATTTATTGCCTTATTGGGCCACAAGCAATGAAGAGAGAAGCTTATCCAAAATAGAAAAAGATGGGGGAGAATGTGACTTGTAAAGAACAAACTGACTGCCACCCTGGTAGCCATGAAGGTGATGGTAAAGATGGTAAATCTCAAAGTTTCAGCCAGTTGATACCATCAGCTTCTGCCATTCTTTCTTTGTATTCCGTACATTAACTCAAGACCATGTGCCTTAAACCTGATAGTCTGGGGGAAGGGGCAGTTGCCAAACCTCTTTCTGGGCCTCTTGACCTAACATAAGTCCCACCCTTTTTTCCACCAAACCTGCATTTGCTTCAGCTGTTTCCAGAACCACATTGAATGATTTAATCTGAACCTGGGAGTACCTGGGAGTTTACATCAAATGAAAGCCACTGGGCCGGGGGGCCTGGGCTCTGCCTATCTTAGGTGGGGAGGGGAGGGGAGGAGAGGACTCTTATTGCAAGAAGTACTTCTGCAACTGCAACAGCCCAGTGTTGACCATCAAGGTCATTTTCCCTTTCTCCAAAATGATAGAAACTATCATAAATGGAATCGAAATTCTTTTAATTTTTGAAGCATTAAATGTTATTGAATTGAAACACGTGGAATCAAATAGGCTGTAATTTGACTGGTGAAAACACAATCCCATTTTTGTAAATACCTTCTTACTTAATTCTATCAATTAATGTGGGAATAGGAATCTTTGCATTTACTCTATTGCCAAGAGATGCCTACAAACCACAAAAAATGAAAAAAAAAAGAAGCTTTTCCAAAAAAATTAAAAGAAATATTAATTTAACTTGTTAATGCTTTCATGTCCATCAAATTTTGGTTAAAAAATTTTAAAAAAATCACATTTCATGAATGTAAATATTCTTTAATTTTAAAAAAAATCCAATACAAGCGTTTAAACATGCATTGACCTTTCAAAGGGATAACAATGATCATTTATAAAATGATGTTTAAGTCAAATAAATCTTTATGATTAATGATAGATTAATTATCATTAGTTAAAAACTCACATGATATTAATATAAATAGTAAAAATATCACGTGATTATATTATTATATCACATAAATATATTATGTCAATACCATGTTATATAAAATGATAAGTTTTATTGTAATTAAAGATAATTAATCAATTATTAGTTATAAAAGACGCACTTGATTCAAAATAAAAATATAAAAATTTAATTAAATATAATAACAATATAAGTATTTAGTTTTTTTGTTTTTTGAATAATTCAGAGATTTTATTTAAAAATAGTATTATCTTTATTTCAAAATTAACATATCCTACTCACGGTTACTCTTATTTTTTTAAACATACATAGTAAAAGATTCTAACAACTATTTTTATTATATCATAAATTTTATTTTTCATTTTATAAAATTTAATTTTAAATTAAAAAAATTTTCTCCGTAATTATTATTCAAAAGAATGCACAATAATCAATAGATAGCTTCTGATGTATGATGAATAATAATAATAATATTAATTATTATTATTATTAAATACATGATATTGAGATTGGCAATTTCAACGGAAAGGGCAAAATGGTGAACCGAAAAACGAGTGGCAATTTAGAGAATACAAGAAAATCAGGGTGAATTATAAGATAGCTAATAAATATATTCTTGGATTCATTTATTATTTGCTTTTGGGCTTAACGAAAGCATACTTTCTATTTTATTCACTAAAAAGAACACATCAAATAAAATAAAAGACACAGAAACAGAGAAGTCGAGGACTCTGTGTTTGTGTGGATGTGATCCACACCCTTTCTTCCTGATTGTTTCCTGAGAAAATTTTTGGATCAAAAATCAAAGCTTGCGAGCGAGAAAAAAATGGGTTTGATCCAATTTGTCAAATCAATCAACTGGGAACAAGAAGCTTACCCTGCTTATGAAGATTTCATTGTTCTTCCTCTCTTTGCTCTGTTCTTCCCCACTGTCCGCTTCTTTCTCGATAGATTCGTCTTTGAGGTACTTGGTTTTATCTCTTTTATCTGTTTTTATGATAATTTTGATTGGAGTTTTGAGTTTCTTTTTGTGTTTTTGAAATTTTTGTTATTTTAATGTTTTGTCTTTTAGCCGTTTATTGAATTGTTTTGATAGGTTGCTTTTGTGATTATAGGATTGACTAATATAAGATTCGTTGTTTTGTTTTATGTGTTTATGGTGCTGGTAGTTGCTTGCTGCATGTAAATGGTATTACATGTACTTTTATGCTTCATGAGGAGCTTGATATAATGCTATGAGTGATGGTGAAAAGAATTCAATTTGGGTTTTGGAATGAGATCCTGGTTCCATTGTCTTTTAGTTTATGTTTTGTGGTTAGTGATATTTAAAATGAATAAGGTATAGAGTTGAAATGTATTTAATAGAAAAATTTGGAATTGATAAAGATTATAACATGGAGAATATGTTGAGCAATTTTGCTATTTGCATTACACTTCAGTTATGGAATTCATTTAATTTGGACTTGATCACATTGTTCTTGCTTATGTTAATGCATTGGTTTTGAAATGGCTGCACTTGTTGAAGCCTAAGATTGGTCCCTGTATTATCTTGGGCAGTTTGGACTAAATGTAGTCCCGTTCCCTAGGATGAGTAAATGTAGTCTCGTTCCCTAGGGTGACTAAATGTAGGTCTTTCTTTTGTTTTCTTGAGTTTTTCTCTCCTTTGAGCCTATATATAAGTGTCTTGCCATTGTTTTGACATAGCATTTGTTATTGGTAAAGCTTCAGCCCAGGTTGTTGTGTGGACATATTTTATAATTGATTGAGAATTTGCCTTTAGTCTTATACGGTTATGAGTTATGCAGAGACATCTGGAGACTTTTTACCAATTTCTGGAACTTTTTGAAGTTAACTTCTTTGCTACAAAAACCTTAATGCTTTTGCTTTCTTGGGTAGACATTGAAACAATGGCATCCTCCTATTAGTTGTGACTTCATTGTGTGTGGGCTTGCTTAGTGCTATTTAAAGATTTGTTTTAAGATTATTTCTATGTATGTAAGTACTATGTCCATGTTGATATACAGGTATTTATCATTTAAGTTTGAAATTGGAAATTTTCACTGTTATAGGGAGACAGTTTGCTGTATTTTGCTCGCTAAATGAGTTGAAATAAATCAAACTAGGGTGATCTTTTAGTGTGGATAAAGTTCATGTCGTAGTTGCTAAGATAAAACCATAAGCATAAATTAAGGAGTAGAAAGCTGCCTGTTTTCATTCTTCCCATGTTGAAGTGGTTGTCTTGAATGTTTGAGGGGAAACGTAGTCCAAATTTGGCATATTGGATTTCAAGACGTCAATTATGTGATGTAGTCCTATTTATCTTTAGCTAGTTTGGTCGTTCCTCTCCTTGTTTCCTCTCTCTATTTTTCTGTCACAGTCCTTCATCCTGTTTATATGTTTTCTGAAAATATTTTACATGGTTTCAGAAAGTTGGAAGCCGAATGATTTTTGGAAAGGGACACCAGATGATGAATGTCAATACAGATGAGAGAAGGAAGAAGATTAGAAAATTTAAGGAGTCAGCTTGGAAATGCATTTATTATCTGTCAGCCGAAATTCTGGCTCTCTCTGTAACTTATAATGAGCCTTGGTTCAAGAATACAAAATACTTTTGGGTAGGGCCTGGAGATCAGGGCTGGCCTGATCAAAAAATTAAGTAAGCTTCATCAACAATATGTAATATATTTGCTGGTGTTTGATTTAAATATCAATGTTGGCGTAACTATATTCTTGCATTTATTATGCAATCAAAGACATGAGAAGTACAGCTTTATTAACTCAAATACTAACTATTGTATCTCTTTTCCAGATTGAAATTAAGGGGACTTTATATGTATGCTGGTGGATTTTATACATACTCTATATTTGCTTTGATCTTCTGGGAAACAAGGCGTTCTGACTTTGGTGTCTCAATGGGTCATCATGTTGCAACTGCCATCCTCATTGTGCTATCATACATATTTAGGTATGCTCTGACAGGTTCTTTCCTATACATAAGTTAGACTCATAGATTAAAAAATTTTGCAGGATAGTTGTTTCTGTTCTCATGCCATTTTCTTGCAGATTTGCCCGTGTTGGTTCGGTTGTTTTAGCAATTCATGATGCTAGTGATGTTTTTCTGGAGGTAGGGAAGATGGCCAAGTACAGTGGTGCTGAAACAATTGCTAGCTTTGCATTTATTATTTTTGTTTTGTCTTGGATCTTACTGCGTCTCATATACTACCCATTCTGGGTCCTTTGGAGTACAAGGTTTGTATAAGTTCATGCCTGATATATATTGGCTACCGAAATTTATGAGTTTCTTCTTAGGCACTTCAGAATCATACCCACATCCATACAGATAGCACTACATTTAAGGGTGGAGAAAAGCAACTAATAAAAAAAGTTATGCTTACACAAATGATAGCTGCTGACTGTTGTGCAGTAAGCAGCAATGTTTATGCACTCTCTTACAAGAAAAAGAAATACTTTTCTGGGTTTTTACAGTTCACACACTTTAAGCCCTATAATTGAATTATTCCTGGTACTGTGAAATTTATAATATTTTAATCAAAATTTGGAACTCTTAATACTCAAAATATGCTTAATAAAGAATTCTGCATCATGAGCATTGAGCTCTATGTTTCTTCCCCTTGAAAGCTTTAACCCTTTCTTCCCTGATATGTGGTTAATGATGGATCCCTTTTGGTTTCAGCTTCAGTATGCATAAGGATTTATTTCTTTAGTTTTATACGAATCATTTTAGGAGTAGTGACATTTTGATGGAAACTGGTCTTTTTTTTAAAGAAAAAAGAAATGCTAAGTTTGCCTTCTGGTTCTCCTATAATCTGGAGAATAAAACTTGATTTAAGTTATATTTTTAATTTTGTTCTTTTTATTAATCTTATGCCCTCTTCTATTGCAGCTATGAAGTTGTCCAGGCATTGGACAAGGAAAAGCATCCAGTGGATGGACCATTTTGTTATTATCTGTTCAACACACTTCTATTTTGCCTGCTTGTTCTTCATATTTATTGGTGGGGACTAATGTATAGAATGCTAGTCAAACAAATCCAATCCAGAGGCAAACTTAGTGAAGATGTCAGATCGGGTAAGTAAACCATATTTTGTCACATGGATGTGACTGCATGTAAGTACACAGATGCACCATAGCAAATATTTTGTCACATGGATGTGACTGGATGTAAGTACACAGATGAACTATAGAAAGAGTGATAAATGAATTTCAATAAGTATTTCTGAACAAGCAAAATATGAATTTGCTATTTATATCTTTATGTCAACTGGCTTATATCCAGATTGATAAATGATATGAATGTCACATTGTCCTACTTCAGGATAGTGCACAATTTTTTGGTCATTTGTAAATAACTTATAACCAAATTAATGCTGTAAAAAGAGCTTCATACCATTGTTCATGCATATGGTCATTTTAAATCCCTCTAGAATGTGCTTTCAAGTGGCTTTCCTTTTACTACATAGCTGAGTGTTCTATCTTTAGTTTTCATTTTGACCTTTTATTAATTTATGCAGATTCTGAAGGTGAAGATGAACATGAAGATTGATCCGGAAAGGAGGAATTCTGCATTAACAAGACTTATGAAAGGGTAATCTTACTTTTATTTGAAAACCTCATAGAACTCATCAATTTGATTTAGTAGAATCAGTCATAGACCTCCAGACTCGGTTCTATGTAGAAACATGATAGAAAGTCCTCGATTTGGTTAAGTGCACCACAAGTGACCACAAATGCTTTTGTGCAAAGTTTTAGTTTTCACTTTAGTTTCTTTGTCTTCTTTCTCTGTAAACTGATAGTGTCCATTTGCCCTCAAAGTGATAGAAAGGTCTCTTGTCATATGTTTTTACAGATGGTGAACAGCCCCATCGGTTTACACATTGATATTCTTTTAAGCTGAATGAAATACTCGCATTTTCCTTGTAATTTAAGGGAATTTTAGATTGTTTCAAGATGAGGTACACAAGCATTTTGAAGAGTAGTTTAGTTGTTGATTGTTGATGTCAGGCTTTGGGTCCTTTTCAGTTCACAATGTTGGGTCTAGGTCTGCTGCCTCGCCAGTAATTTGTTGTAACAAAACACGTTTACCATGACACTGTAATTCACCATCTCAAAAAGGATCTCTGCAGCCAAGTTGAGTTCAAAATTCTTTTGCCTACAAACCAATGAATCTATGTCTTTCAGGTAAATAACAGAAAAATTACCTCATTGTTATGACCTGGGGTTTGAAATTTGACACTTTAGTACCAGGTTGGATCTTGAATCCTGGTATATATTTATACAAAGTCTCTTCACCCACCAGGGTCAGCAAAAGCTCAACTGCAAATGGTGCCTTTGTCTTGTATTAATATCCGTTTAGTCAATCAATTGTTAATAATAAAATTTTATTAAATTTAAAATAAAAATATAAAAATTTAAATGAAATAAGAAAATAATAATTTATTTAAATTTTCATGAACAATTTAAAGATTTCTTAAAGTATTATCTGAAATTAAAATTAAAAGTAAAAACCTCGTCGATAAGTCTATGATGGGCTGGCCCAGCAGTCATCTGAGCTGGGGAGGAGGAGATATAATAAGGCCCAAAAGAAAATAAAAATAAAAAATGGAAAATAAAAAAGAAAAGGAAATACTGGTAGCTTGCCCAAAGGGCCAGTGGCAAGTTTTTAACTTTCGAGTTGGAAGAAATACGGAGAGCCACTGACCGCCTCTTCCCAACGACGTCGCTCTCTTCTTACCGGTAAGTCCCTTTGCTTCTGCTCTTTTTTCATCAAAACCTCAAACAAGATCTTATAGTTGTTTTTTTTCCATGTATTAGTTCTTGATTTTTAGTGCGTACAGCTCAATTTTTTAGAATTCTTTGCTTTATTTATGGGTCTGAACTCAGAACATGAAACAAATCAGTGCAGTTATTGTTGGACAGATTTCTTGTCTAGATGCATGAAGTCCTCAACTTTCCCGGTTATGCATGTGAAATATTTGAGAAAGTGACGGAAGGAAATTTGGGTTTCTTTGAATGAGGGGAAAAAAGTGTAATTTAATGACTGTATGGGGTGAAGGTTACCTTCAGGGTTAGTTATGGAAGTAACCCATTTTTATTTTCTGATTTTTTTACTGGTTTAGTGATTAGTACTATAGAAATTTTGTTGATCTTGGATTATCCTTTCTTTTGGGAAATGCCCTAAAGATTATATTCATAGATTGTTATTGTAAGTAGGAATACTTTTTGATGATTAGACATTATTGATCTTTGTAGCAAATTTGAACTTTTATTATCAATCTCGTGCACTTTTGCGATTAATGCTGATAATGTTTCTGTTTTCTTAATTTGGCAGTGCGTGAAACTTGATTTTTAAATTGTAAGAATGGAAGATGTCATAACCGAAATTCCCCCGCCTTCAAGATTCTTTCAGGAAGATCTTAACAACTTTTTACCTCCATCCCCATCTCTTCCGTTGCCATTCCTTGTACTCTCTAATCCTAAGCCTGATAAGCCCCTTTGTCCATCTCTCCTTATCATCGCGTTATCATCTCCATCTTTGTATATCTTCCACCATTTGTCAACTAAGACCTTAATTGGAAGTCTTATCCTGCCTGAGATCCCTTTCTCTGGCATCTCTGTCGAACCCTCGCTAGGGGACAAAACCTGCAACATCTATTCCCTTAGTAATGAGGACAATTCTACTCTCCTTGTGTCAGTTCAACATGGTGTCTCTGCAGAGAGATCTCACCTTGTTGCAAGGTTGCTGATAGGTGTTGATATTGTGCCTGAGAGGGTTCTGATATTGGATACAATTCAGAGCCGGAACTTCAGGGGCAAGCTCTCACCAGATGAAACATATGCTTTTAAGCTGGAGACATTAGCAGAAAGAAAAGGATTGGGTGGTGGCAATGTAGACTTCTCACTGCTAAAGGGTTTAGACTATTTTCCATCTGGCAGTATGATTGATGGCTTGCCTGCTGCTTTGTTGAGTCGTTGCGAATTGAAGAACATAAAGGGGACATTGTGTGTTTCATGGCCTGAATTTGGTAGTTCTGTGGTGGCTCTAATTAGATCTCTACTGCAAAGGAATGTACTTCCTAGCTTGGACTTGAGCTTAAAGGGAGAGGTGCAGGATCGATATGCAAGGTTCAATCGAATTAGGCATCAGCCTTATGATGCGGAATTGTACACATAGTGAACTACATTTATGCATTCGCCCACACACACAAAAAGAAGAAGCAGAAGAAGAGAGATAGTTTTATGTTTTATTCCTTTCTTAACATTTCTCTTCTTTTGACATGTTGTTCTGCTGTCAATATTTTTCTTGGAAGAGGTGCATGAGTGTAATTCACTAATTTGTCTGCTGGGTTTTGTCATTTCTTTTAAGTTGAACTTATGAGAAGCTTCTGAACTTGTTCCTGTTTGACCTTTGTCTTGCATGTTATAACTGATGTGGTTCAGAATTACATTAAACAAATCTCACCCGTATTGACAGCAGTCATCCTGCTTTACATGTCATGGGAAATTAAAATCTGCTTGCATAGTTACTGGAATTATCATTTCTAGTTTCTGTCACTCTAATCCTTGCTAATTGTATATCCTTTTGTTCCATGACGTTATATGTCGGTCTGGACATTATCACCTATGATTTAGCCCGTGCCCCTGGCATTGGTAATGACACCTTGGATGGTCTTGCTTGTCTTGGAACCTCTAGATGGAGTATTGTCTCATTTGAGTGCTCTTTGCACGTCTCTTTCAATTTTGTCTTGCAAGCACAGAAAACAGGTTTTGACAGTAAGCCGAAAGCACCTGTTGGCATCTAGAGAATAAGGTCTTTTGCCTGAGGAATTGTGTTTTGCATAATGTTCTAAAATAACTATTCCCCTAAGGATGAGATGATAAATGAGCTATGCCCGTCATCCAAGGATTGATCTCCCGTTTCTGAACTTGAGTTTAAGACGTTATGTCTTGTACAAAAGGTTATGAAATTGTGATCACAAAGCAGTTCTAAACCCTTGCAATTAGATCATAAAATTGTTAGTCTAGGCATGCAGGTTTGGGTTGGTTCGAACCCAAGCCACCCCTTCCCCAGTGATTTCCTCCTCTCGTATATATAATAATAATTAGTTAAAAAAATGGCCAATGTAGCTGGAGGACCTACCCTTGCAAGTGCACTGCCAAAATCTTTGTTAGGTCTGACTTATGGAGGTCATTCTGTTTGTGGCAATTGCTTTTGTTAGTCGGCAAAAGGCAGACTAGAAAGACTGGATAACGAGCTGAAAGCGAAGAGAGGCGTGCATGGTTCAGTTGCTTCTGAAAGGAACCTGTGAGACACATCTGGCACCTCAGCATTCTTGTAATACTGGAATACTTGGATGACAAAGTCACACTTTGAATGAGAAGTCTGCATTAAATCAACTTCTTTTGACACGTGATACACTAATCTCTTGCACTTCAAGAATCAAGGTCGCAATTTTGCATCTAGATTTTTTTTATCCCCCTGGAAAAGCAACTGAAGAATGAAAATACAAGAAAGAGTATATGTTAATTCATTGTTCTTGTTCTTCAAGTTAAGAGCGTCAAGCAGTGAGCTGAATTCCAAACGGTCAGCTGGAACTTTATCAATATTTAAAGCATTCGTTTAACCTAATATGTTCAACTAATTAAGTCTATGTTGTATAACAGATACCAAAACGATTAGATAGATCATCACATGGTTTCCTTTGGTTTAGTCAGAGACTGTCCTTTTCCCCCCAAGGCTTCAACTTGCTAGACAAATAAGAGGAGACTGCAGCTTGTTTGAAAGTTAAAACAAGCGAAAAAGCAGTGAAACATTTGCTGTTATCTGTTTATGGTTTGGTGGCTAGCCCAAAACCTTTTCAAGAAATTTATTTAAAGATACGATTTACGTCATTGAATCTGTGTCTAAGTTATAGTTTTTGGTTTGAGAGCACCCACCAACCAGGCCAACATTAGTTGCATCCTCTCTTGACTAATTACACATAAATTTGTACTAAATACTCAAACGGTTATGCACAAGGAAAAGCTTTCAAAATTTCCACATTCTTTTTCCCTTAAATATCTTACAGTCCCACCCATTTCCCCATCCATTCATTCGAGAACATCTTATGCACAGCAGCAAAAGAATGGGGCAGTACCCTTCTCTGATCAGTGTGAAATGTTTCATGGTTCTGGTCTGTATCTCCATTCTCAGCTCTGCCATTTTGGCAAGTGGCCACCCCTTGACATTGGATTACTACAAATCTACATGCCCGACTGTGTTTGAGATTGTGAGGAAAGAAATGGAGTGTCAGGTGCTCTCTGATCCTCGCAATGCAGCCTTGATTGTTCGACTACATTTCCACGACTGTTTTGTTCAGGTGAATCCGAGACACATATCAATGCATATATATTGCTCAGAAATAGCTGGAGGAAAAATCCCCAAAAAAGAATTTACATTTATTATTACGAATATGATTTGTGCAGGGCTGTGATGGGTCAGTTTTGCTTGATGACACAATCAGCTTGCAAGGAGAAAAGAAAGCTTCTACAAATGTAAACTCCCTAAAAGGATTCAGAATCATTGACAGGATTAAGAACAAGCTTGAATCAGAGTGCCCTGGAATTGTTTCTTGTGCTGATATCCTCACCATTGCTGCCAGAGATGCTGTGATTCTGGTAAAAATCAACATTAATTTGTACAAATCAAAAGCCTACAACACTTAACAGTCTTAATGCTTGAGTTAGGCTTATTTGTGTTTTGGTCTAATTATTTTCAGGTTGGTGGACCTTACTGGGATGTACCAGTGGGAAGAAAGGATTCAAAAACTGCTAGCTATGATCTTGTCCGGGAAAACCTTCCCGGTGCTGATGAGGGTCTTCTCGGTATTATATCGAAATTTCTTTATCAGGGCCTCTCAGTGACTGACATGGTGGCTCTTTCTGGTAAGCTATTCCTAGAATCTTTCCTAATATCCTCTCTTGTGTTTAGTTCTCCATGGCTCCTGTTTCAAACTATATTATACTTTTTTAATGAATAAAAATATTATTACTCAAATTTAAAATCTTTATTCAAATTGTACCCGAAACATTTAACTCATTGACTAGTGCACGATTTCTAATTTTAAAGAATAAAGTTCAAAATCTCTTTTTTTAAATATAAAAAAAATTATTCAAATTTTGTTGAATATCTTATCACTAGAATTGATAAGCTTTTATAATTAACATACATAATTTTATTTGTGTAAAAGAAAATTTAAATATGGATAATTATCTTTTAATTTCAAGCTAAGTAACTTAGCTTTAGAAATATTAAATTCAAATCATAAACATATTTTCTCGAGAATAAAATGGATAAAAATTGTTATTGATATATTCAAAATTTTCAACCAAAAAAAAAAGATAAGAGTTTATTGGGGAAAGTAATGAAGTGAGATATGTATAAAAGGTGAATAAGATTGGACAGAGGTTAAAAAATAGACAAATATAAGAAATTTAGGTTTGGAAGTAAGGGGGTTAGATAAGAGTTTAAGTAAAAAGAAATGGTTTAAAATAGAGATTGCAACTTGCTTTATTATTATTATTATAATAATGAGTCAAAACACTTATATTTTATGGTTTGGAAAATGTATTTAACCATATAAATTACATTTTTAATTTTAAAATAGTGTTAATGGATCATGCCGTCAGTATAAACCTACCAAATATTTGGATGGCCTCGACACCTCTAAATAATGAGTAAATCTAATGAAATTTTCATTTTGGTTCGGAACTTATTTTAAGATTTTATTTTTATATTGTTGACATAATATTTTTAAAAAAATTTAAATTAATTTTTATTTTTTATTACGTTTAATCAAGTTTCTGTGTTTTTATTTTCAGCTAAATAAACTCTTATATTCTTATTTTAAACCAAATTAGTGTTTATAATTAATAATTGATTTAATCAAAATATCATTTGTCATTCTATGTCACGTGGTACTAATGTAACATGTTGAAATGTTATAATTGATAATAGCATGACGTTTTGATATATCATAATTGATCATGATATAACATGATGATTTGATTAATGTGATATTTTTTACTATCTTCATAAGCGCCACATCAGTCATATATAAATATAAAATAACAAGTAACATTTTGATTAATGAAAATTAATCAATCATTAGTTATAATGACTTATTTGATCCAAAATAAAAATACAAAAATTCGATTCAATGATAATAAAAGAATAAAAACTTATTATAGTGCATATAATAGGAAATATATGTTAGGATTTAATATTTTTGTTCACATATTTTACTCATTAAATAAATAAATATATATATATATATATATATATACTTGTCGGGCTCATGGGCGAGCTGGGTAATAGAAGTTTAGGACTGGCCCGACATCTTTTCTTGGCTGGGCCTGACCCAAACAAATTCAGCCCAATTAAAAATCTTAAATTATCAAATAAAAATATTTTGGAACCACAAGGTATAAAGTTCTTTAATGTTTACGGGGTCTTTTATTCATATAAAATTATCATTTGCTTAAAGCAAATTCTGCTCTAAGCATGTGTAAAACCAGATAATAGGATTGTTGAGGCTTTTATGGGACTTAGATTTTCCATTGTCCTGTTTGTTGTTTCTGTGGATACCACTTGCAGGGGCTCACACCATTGGTATGGCACGCTGTGTGAATTTTCGAGCTAGAATCTATGGCGACTTCGAAGCAACATCAGGGAAGAATCCATTATCCGATCCATACCTGAGCAAATTAAAATCCATTTGCCCTGCAACCGGATCAGGAGACAACAACATAACAGCCATGGACAATGTCACACCAAATCTTTTTGACAATTCCTTTTACCATACTTTGCTGAGAGGGGAAGGGTTGCTCAGCTCGGACCAAGAGATGTACTCCAGCTTGTTGGGAATCGAAACGAAAGAGCTCGTCCAGAAATACGCAGAGGACCCTGTTGCTTTCTTCAATCAATTCTCGGAATCGATGGTGAAACTGGGAAACATTAGGAATTTAGATAGCTTTGTGAGTGGTGAAGTGAGGAAGAGTTGCAGATTCGTCAACACTTGAAAAAAATGAGCTGCATTTGTTCAATGAATTGCGTAGTAATTGTTTGCATGTGCCAAAGAAGAAACGAAATAAAAAGTTTTTAAGTTAATAGTTTTCATTGAGTTGCTGAGAAATTGAAGTTTCCTTTGTACCAAGAAATTGAAGGAAATTGAAAGTTTATGTACGATTCATTTTGAACCAACTATATTATAAAGTGGTTCTCCTACTGAAATTTGCTTGTGAATGTTGATCTCTTTAGCCACTTTGATTAGGTGCATGTGTCACATCCACTTCTTAAGAAGAAATAGATTGGAGTGTTTTAATCTCACGTCAAACAGGTAGAGGATTTTGAGACATTTCTACGGGTAGATGCTGTATATTTTACTTAATTAACTTTTTGAAAAGAAGATAATAATCTTGTGAAACATAAATAAAGCACACATATATAAAACTATGCCCAAAAAAAGATTTTAAATTCAATTCATAAGTTCCCTCTCATTTAATTAATAACATTTCTAAGTGTTTTTTTCCTTTTAATTAGTGCTTAACTCCAAATAGTTAGATGAAATAAAAATTCAGGGTCTTATGTGAAGTACTTATGAGAATTTTTTTGGCATAATGTTAAAAAAAAATCTCTGAATTATTCAAGAAAATTCAATAAGTTTTTATTTTTTTATCACTTTTAATCAAACTCTTATATTTTTATTTTAAGTCAAATACACCTTTATAACTAATAATTAATTAACTATATTGAGGCAAAACGCTATTTATTTTTGTTACATAGTGCTGACATTGTATATTGATATCAATAGCAAATTTAAAATTTTGCATAAAGATTGTTAAAAGGTAATTATAAGCGTAATCATATCATATGTATAAAGTTTTATACATATAATAATAAAGAAAATTAAACATTGAGGGGTAGCCGCCGTTACTACTAGCCACCCTTTTTTCCCTTGGTTTTGTAGGTGGTTGACATGTTTGAGTAATGTAACATAATTACGTGATATTTTTATTTTTTATTTTAAATTTAAGATCTATAGTCAGATTTATATATAAAAAAAGGATTTATTTTTATCCTTTTTTCTACGCAAATGCAAGAATTAGGGCATGTTGAAGTGGTAAACGTTGATGAAGTCCATATACACCCCTTTTTATTTCTTTTATTTGAGCAGGAAAAAAAAAGGTCTATGCATGTTTAATAGCTTTAAATTTCGATGCTTGATATTTTAGTAAGAAAAATGTGGTGCCAAATATAACAAAGTTTGTCAGCGGTGATATTTTCTTCCCCTATACTTCTTAAATTCTTACTTCTTCTAGTAATTATTGACTTTGTTTTTTGTTTCTTTTTCCAACAATATTTTGACTACATATACCCCATTTAATAAAAAAATATATATATCATACTTAATTCCATGATAAAACCCATATATCTAACTCGAAAAATTAAATTCGAATCTTTTTCATTTAAAAAATAGTATTGTCTCAAATTTTGAAAAGAAATATTTAAAAAATGAAAATATGTGACGGTTGTGTTTCGGTCTTATAGAGTTATCTTAAGAACTTTATATAAAATTTTGTCAAACTTAATATTATATTTTTTTTGATTGATTTGTTTGTTTGGTTTATTTTATTGACTTTGATATTAGATGTCGTTTACGTTATATATATGATAAATTATTAATTTTGATTATATTTTTTCATTTATATATTTGATTTTATATAAAAAATAATCATACATGTTCATTAGACAAGTTGTGACTCAATGCCAACTGGACCTGCATTATAAATTTAATTAATTAAGTACTCGGTTTCATTTTTATCTCATGTTTTGCTATCAAATGTTTAGGGATGAAATTTGACGATTAAGTTAAATATTATCAATGACGAATAAAATTACTGAAAGAACTCTTACGAAACAAAATTTTGATTTAAAGATAAAAAAATCTTTGAAAAGAAATTTAGTCGTATTCAAGTTTGGTAATTCAAGACTCCAAGGTATCCTACGTAAGTTTTCCATTAAGGTTAGACAATTCTAAGTCAAAATACAAAAATTAATAGATGTGATGGAACCGATTTGATAATATTTAGAGCTTTGAAAAAAAAGAGGTTATATTCAAAGTCAATCATCTAACAAGGGCATGTAACAATTTAATATGCCTAACTCTTGCATGGGTTTGCATCCTTTCAATTATTATTTTTTATTATTTTTTAATACATTGATCGTTATTGCGTATATGTATAGAAATCAATCATGAATTATAATTTTATATACAACAGATCTAATTATGAATTGTGGATCTTATATATTAAATCGCATCACAACATTTTAATCATATATATAAATTTTTTTGTTATTCTCATCAAATATCGTATTAGTTTAAACTTTTGACCCTACATTTTTGTTTTTAATATTTGTCTATTTTGATTGCAAAATTTTATTATTTTAATTTTAAACATTATATTTTATGAATAAGTTGATTTGACAAATATTTATGAAACTCGCCTTTAAATTATCCAATAAAATTTTGTTTCGTAAGGAAGGAAGTGTAGGATCAAATAACATTACATTTTAGAAAATGGGTTGTTAAAAATTCTCAAGAATAGAATGAAGTTATTTACAATTGAAAAAAAAAACTTCTGTCTATTTAACTAAAAATATTTAAATATCGCTCAAAAATTAATGAGTGTAATATTTGTCAATTGACACCAACAAAATATATTGAAGATATTTGAGACATCTTATTCCTGGATAATCGTAATTAGACATACAAACCTTTTTCATATTTTAAAGAAATTATTTTTATCACATAAATCTATCATTTTGCCTTTAATTAAACACTATACAATAGTTAAAATTTAATTCAACTTGAAGGTTTCGGACTCAAATCTCAAGATAAGAAATGTGATATTTATCAAAAGAGCACAAAATTTTTTTATTATGTAATTTAATATTATATATATTAAAAAAATTATCACTTAATAAAAAATGAAGGTATATATATTAAATTGATAAAAATATATTAACCACAATTTGACACCATCAATAAGATCATAGGCCTAAACAAAAAAGGTCATTTTCGAACTTTAAACAATAAAGTTTCGCGTCTTCTTAATTTAAGATTTAAATATTTTATCTATCTCAAATTTTATATTTTTAAGAAAATAATGAATGAAATATCATAGGATTTCTATTAGCACGGTACATTATAATCATATATATATTTTTACAAAAAATTTTATGTATAAATAGGGTTATACTAATTCATAATCTATCATAATAAGAATTTAAAAAATAAAGCGTACCTAATTTTTTATTTATAATTTAACAACAGAAACAACATTGATCAAATTTACTGTTGGTCCTAAGTAGACTAAGATCTTCCTCTCTTTTTTTTTTAACTCTCTAACGAGTGAGATCTTTATGTTTTTGCTTAGATAGAAGATGGGACCTAACTTTTCTTTATACAGTGAATCCTTAAGCTTATTCATCATAGGATATAGGGTTCTTAAATAAGTCTACACATAAAGTCTACATTTATTGTATTCATGTATCATTACCGCATACATGAATCTATGAATCTATAGATTCATGTATCATTATTGATTACATATACGAATAAGTAGATATAATTATAAAATATAATTAATTATTACTTTATTAAAACCAAATAACCTTAATTTATTTTATAAAAATAAAATAAATATAAATAATGTAAATCCATAATTAAGAAAATTTAGCATATATATCATGTTCTCTAGTATTTTTTTCATTTTCAGATGCTTCACGATTAGATTCGGTCAATCAAGTCACAAATTGGGGCTATACCCTGTGATGTAATAACATGCCTAGGATTGATGATCAGATGGATTATATGAACTCAACAACAAACTTTGAATTCGTCAAACCACGAGAAAAGAAAGACACAGACAGACAGAAACGGCAACCAATCAATCCTATGGGGTCATAGGTTTGTTGACGAAAGGTTCTTTGAATCTACAAAATGCCCAAACCATTTAGTCAAACGTGTAGCCCTGGAATTTGCAAATCTTCTATCTATTCATTATTGAAAAGGGCAACATGGGGCAGGCAGTCCCCATTTCCATTTGGTTCCCTTTGCATTTAAAAGTTGGAAGAGGAAGATTAGAAGGGATTGATTCCATGTTTTACCTAAACCATCTCTTGTCTCTTTCTTTCACTCTCACTGGCTTCTCTTTTGGATATTTGGTCCATGGCTCAAAGGGAAAAGATGGGGTACATATGCTTCTTTGTTTAAGTCAACAGTGTGCAAACATTAAAACTTTGACAAGTCTTGGATGTATAGTATCTATATCTTTCCATTTCTTCCCAGTAGAATGTTCTACGTATTGAACACGGAGGTGGACAAAAACTTTTCCTATTCTAAAGAATATGGAGGAAATATCCAGTTGTATAGTAAAGTAGGGACTTTTCTAGATTCTGCTCGGCACTGGAAAGGATATCGGGCTTTGGAGGCAAATAAGAGGGGAGCCTGTCGTTTGGGAAGTGGGATATGAGGAATAATTTTAATTTAATAAATTTTACTTTAATCTTTAAATTTATTAAAATTAAGTATAGAGTAATTGTTAGGAGATATCTTACCAAATAAAAAATTATTATAAAAATAAAATAAAAAAAATAAAAAAATATATGTTATGAAATTTTAATTTTTTTTTAAAAAGGAGTCTTTATTAGTCCTTGTCCCCCTCTTCCACGGATTATGAAAAACTAAAAAGAATTTATAATATATATAATTTTCTATAATATAAAATTTCTTTTCTTGTGATATTTATGATATTATATTTTTTAACAATTTATTTTATATATAAAATGAGAACTGATCGAATAAGAACAATGATTGGTTTTGTTAATATGTTTTTAGGCAAATTTTAGTTCTCGCGACAAGGTGATCCACAGGATTGACTTCCTTCAATGCAACTTCGAAACTTTGCCTTTAATGGAACTGAAAATTTTGGCCCATCCAAAGGATAAACACAAAGAAACGCATACAAATCCAATCTTGGCAAAAGGATCAATTTGATCTTCTTTCTCTTTGCCACATGCTTCACATGCAGAGTCCACCTACCACTTCATGGCTTCTGCTAACATTGCTCATACGGAACAAAATCAAAATTAGAAGGAAAAGCTTTTTATTCTTCAAATTATTACATCCGAGTATATGTATAATCTTTTTATATAAAAAATAACATTCA